GTGTGTGAGAGAGAGAGAGAGAGAGAAAGAGAGAAAGAGAGAGAGAAGCCCGCCCCGCAGCCACTGACAGCTCCACTCCTCCTGGAGGCTCTGCGCTCAGCCCTGCGAGCTTCGCTTCTCCCCAGGAGGCCCTGCTGAGGGTTGCTTGCGCCTCCCAGTTGGGCCGCTGGGCGCCTTCACTCGGCTCAGCGTTGCTGGCTGCAGCCCAGTCCCCAGGCTGAAGCCGTCCTCAGTGTGAGCCGCTCCGCACGGCCGCCTCCCTCCCGCAGGAGCGCGGTGCCGTCCCTGTGCCTCGGGCAGGGCCTGGTGCTGACAGGGCTGCTTCTGAGCGGCGGTGCACATGCGTGTTGGACGTGCACACGTGTGCGGTCACGGCTCAGCCCCGTCTCGGGCCTTGCAGAGTCCCCGCCCATTAGCTACGTGGCGCTGAGGCCCCCGCCTCTGAGGTGTGGTGTGGGCCCCTGCGGCTCAGGTGGCACGGTCCCCAGCCCGTGCAGGCGGTGGCCCTTGGCACCGGCATGGCCTCGAGGTGCTGATGGCCAGGCCCCCAGCTCCCTCAGAGCCGGCAGCGCCGTCTCGGGCGTCGCGAGCCCTGTCCAGCCGCGTGTGACCCGGCCACCCTGTCTCCCGTCTGCAGTGCAGGACCTCAAGGGGCTGGGCTACGAGAAGGGGAAGCCCGTGGGCCTGGTGGGTGTCACAGAGCTGTCGGACGCCCAGAAGAAGCAGCTGAAGGAGCAGCAGGAGGTAGGTCCCAAGGGCTGTGGCCTGGGGAGGCGGCCACGCCTGTGTGCCGGCCCGCCTGCTCCCTGCCACGCCGAGTCCTTGCCAGCCTGCGGTGGGCGCGGAGCCTGAGGCTTCTCATCCTTCATTCTTGGGCCTCACCCTGGGGCTGGGGGCCTGGGGCGGACACCCGCGGCCGGGGCACCACTGACAGTTTGCGCTGGCACCCGCAGATGCAGCAGATGTACGACATGATCATGCAGCACAAGCGCGCCATGCAGGACATGCAGCTGCTGTGGGAGAAGGCGCTGCAGCGGCACCAGCACGGCTACGACAGCGACGAGGAGGTGGACAGCGAGCTGGGCACCTGGGAGCACCAGCTGCGGCGCATGGAGATGGACAAGACGCGGGGTGCGCGGGCGGGGAGCGGGAGCCCGGTCTGTGTGCCTCCGCTCCTCAGTGTGACGGGGAGCCCCGAGCCACCGCGCAGGTTCCCTGTGTGCACCTAACCCTCACCGCTCACCCCCTTCCCCCTGCAGAGTGGGCCGAGCAGCTGACCAAGATGGGCCGGGGCAAGCACTTCATCGGGGACTTCCTGCCCCCAGATGAGCTGGAGAAGTTCATGGAGACCTTCAAGGCCCTCAAGGTGAGCCCGTCACGGAGGGGCGGGCGGCCGCGCCTCACAGCACTGCCTGGTACGGCTGGCACGCGTCCACCTGGGCTCTCCCAGGGTTCTCTCAGGAAATGCTCATACCCGGGAGCCTCAGCCAGCTAGGCGGTGGCCTCACTGACCACATCCTTAGAACTCGGCAAAAAGTGTTCCCAGGCGGGGCACTGTGGCGTGTGCCTATCATCCCAAGCATTTGTCTAGTTTTTTCATGTGTGTGGTCCTGGGGATGGGATCCAGGGTCTTTACACTGACCTAGGTCCTCTGCCCATTTAAACATTATTTTGAAACAGGTTCTCCTTAAGTTGCTAAGTTGCACAGGGTGGGCTTGAACTTGTGGTCCTCCTGCCTCAGCCTCCCAGAGTGCTCAGATTATAGGTGTGCCCCGCCGCACCTGGCTAGCCCAACCATTTGGAAAGCTGAGGCAGAAGGATCACTTGAGCCCAGGAGCCCAAGACCTAGGCAACGATAGCAAGATCCTGTCTCAAAAGCAACAAAAACAAATGGCTGTCAGCACGTGCGCTTCTCTTATCCATCACAGTGGACAGTCGGGCATGTGCCACCTCACCCCTTTTGACTGGTGCCAGGGAGCTCAGCAGCCGGAGGCCCTGGGCTGAAGGCTGCGAGGACTGCGATGACTGTGGGAGGAGGCTGGCCTGGCAGGGGTGGGTGGGTGGCCAGCGCACACCGAGGGCCCAGGCAGCAGGCAGGTCGGTGAGGTGGGGCCGGGGGTAACGTCACCTTCTGCCCGCAGGAGGGCCGGGAGCCCGACTACTCGGAGTACAAGGAGTTCAAGCTGACGGTGGAGAACATCGGCTACCAGATGCTCATGAAGATGGGCTGGAAGGAGGGCGAGGGGCTGGGCTCCGAGGGCCAGGGCATCAAGAACCCGGTGAACAAGTGAGTGTGGGGTGCGCCTGACACGCGCCCGCCCGGCCCCCCCCATGGTCCTCCCCGAGTCCTGAATTCCCGGCCCCCAGCTCCCGCAGTGGGGCGGAGCCTCTCCCAGGTGGGACCCCTGCCCACACTTGTGCCCGCCCACCCGCAGGGGCACCACGGTGGTGGACGGCGCCGGCTTCGGCATTGACCGGCCGGCCGAGCTCTCCAAGGAGGACGACGAGTACGAGGCCTTCCGCAAGAGGATGATGCTGGCCTACCGCTTCCGGCCCAACCCCCTGGTGCGTGCAGCCCCCCGGGCCTCCCGATCCCCCACGGTCCCCAGGGAGGGGGCAGCAGAGGGCCCTCGCCCCCCAGTACCCCGGGCTCAGTGGGGCCTGCGCCTTAACCCTGTCCGTGACCCCTTGCCTCCCACAGAATAACCCTAGGCGACCATACTACTGACAGGAGCGCCCGCTTTCCAGCCGCCGCCGGCCCGACTAGAGCATGCGGCCTGCGCGCCCGCCGCCCTCCTGTGACACCAGTGCCGCCGCTGTGTATTAAAGTCCCAGTGCTCACCCGCCGCAGCAGCCTGGTCCTTGTCACTGCCGCTGACGCTTCACAGCGGCCTGGGCTGGGGGCAGACGATGGCTGACAGACGCCCCGCACCTGGGAATGCGGAGCCCGCCTGGCCCATGCCTGCCGGGGGAGCACTGGAGGGGGCCAAGCCGTGCAGCCCCTGCCCAGGGCACAGGGACAGCTGCCCCCAGCAGTAAGCCTGGGGGAGCGAGGGTAACCAGCTGCACCTGGCCACCCCAGTGTGAGGGGTGTCTGTTGGGGACCCTCAGCGTGCTGGGCTGTGGCTGCAGGCACACCTGCCACCTTCACCCCCCTGGTGGGTGGCACCTGCAGGGCCTGGCACGCCTCAGGCCACCATTGGCCGGGGCTGCAGCCTAGGCTGCTCCCTTGCTGGCCCCACTGGCAGCGTGGACACAAGTCCTGAGGCTTGTCTCCGGGACATCTGTGAGGGTGGGTGGATGTACCAGGCCGTCACGCAACCTGGGGACCCCATCCCTAGGGATCTCTGCTGCAGCTGCTCTGTCCCAGCAGGAGGGGGCCTGGGAGTGCAGATTCTCACCAGCTCTCTGGTCCCGGGCCCTGGGATGTCCCACTGCTGATGGGTGCTGCCCCACTGTGTGGGGCCGGGGTCTCCCAGTTCACGTGGACTCCAGCCAAGGTCACGCAGCCACTCAGCAGACACGGGGCACTGATGCGAACCAGTGGACGAGCTCTGTCCCCAGGCTGCCCGTCCATGGACAGCGTCTAAGCCTGGGCCTCCCCGCCTGTGAGTGTGCCAAGAGGAGTCGGCCGGGGTGGAGACAGCAGCTGGCCAGGGCTGGGCCCGAGCCCTTGTTCCCCCGTGGGTGCTGGGCTGGCAGGGCAAAGCAGGGACGCTGGCGGCCTGTGCCCGGGTGCTGTGCACGGGCGCTACGGAGAGGGCAGTGGGTCAGGGACCTGCTCTGATCGGGTGGCAGGTGTGGCTGTGGGCACCCAGAGGTGGAGGAGGTGGGAGTCCTGGGCTTGGTCCCAGCCACCTGCCCGTCACCTCTCCGTTGAGTCCCAGTAAGTCGGAGTCGGGCACGGACTTTACCCTGGGCAGGGCAAGAGGAGGCCTCCAAAAGCCGGCATGGGTGCAAGCTGGACACCCTGCCCCTTCAGGGAGAGCACGTGGCCCCCTCCTGCAGACGGGAGCAGGGGGTGGGGCTTGGCCTCCAGGAGCCTGAACTTCACCCCCAGGTGACCGGGGACCCAGGGTGGAGGCTGAGTCAGAGTGAGGTCCGAGATCTTGGGGTGTGGCTCAGACCCACGACTTGGCCAGGGACCACATGGAGCCAGGACCATGGTCGTCCAAGGGGAGAGTTCAGACTTTCCCTGAGGCTGGGACGCAGGGGGCAGCGGCCCTGAGTTCCCTGCCTGGGCAGGTCCACTTCCTGTACCAGTCCCGGGCAGTTCCCCACCCCTCCATGGCCTGACTCTGAGGCTGGGCCGGCCGGGCTGCCATTTGTTCGCAGCTGACTATCCGGACCTAATTTCAGTACCCATCTCTCAAGACCCTTCCCCGACACGAGGGTCCCGGCAAGCCCGCTGCCTGCAGCTCTGAGCTCCCAGCCCAGTCCGCTGCACACCATGCACGGCCTGGAAACTCCAGTCCTGCATCTGCCCCCGATTGGGCCAAGGTGCAGGGGTAGAACGGCCTGTAGTATTGGGGGTGGCGCTCAGGAGCAGGGCTTTTGCCTAGCATGCATGTACTTCTGGGTTTAACCCAAAAAAATCCTTGGGAGGCCAGGCGTGGTAGCACACGCCTGTAATCCCAGCACTGGGGAGGCTGAGGCAGGAGGATCTTTTCGAGTTCAAGACCAGCTGGAGCTGCATAGTGAGACTGTCTCAAAACCACAAAAAAACACCCATGGAGGTCTAGGCTGGGGGTGTTGCTTTTTCAGAACAAAGAAGACAGGGGTGGGAAGAACCCTAGAGGCCGAGTTCCGGCGCCTCCAGGACGCAGCCTGGCCTCTGAGGGCGAGAGTCCCGTTACTGCCTTCCACAGAGTGGGAAACTGAGGCAGTGGGCCGGGAGCTGGGGCGGGGCGGGTCTGGGGCAGGGTCTTGGGGCGCCCTGGGTTCACACTGGGCGGCCGGGCGGCTGCGTGGCCCGGGCCCCGCTGGAGGCGACCTTTGCGCGGGGCGGGTCCCTGGCCGACCCAGTGGGACACGCCGTTCGGAGCAGCCCAGTGCCCGGGGCCGCCGGGGCCGAGAGCACCTGCGCTGCCATGGAGCTGCCGCCGCTGGCCGGCAAGGTCGCCGCGCTGTCGCTCAGCGCGCTCCCGCTGTCCTACGGGCTCAGCCACGTCTCGGCGCTCTCACAGTGCGTGTGGGGAGTGTGGGGCTGGCCGGGCGGCAGAGGCGTCCCGGGGCGGAGGATGCGCGGGAGGAGGGGGCCGGGACGGGGACCGCCCTCCAACCGGAAGTCTCCTCCCGCAGGCTACAGGCTGGGGCGGGGACACCGGGGATGTCTGGGTTCTGGGAGTGGGGGTGGGGGTGGAGCCGCAGAGCCCCACACCCAAGGCGGGGCTCCACAAAGTTTCTGGGGTCCCCCAGGGATGCCCCCAAGCTTCCGTAGGTTCCAAAGTCACACAGGGTCAAAGAATTGTCGCAGATAAGGCCCAGGTGGCCCAGCTCTCAGTGCGCACACGGGACTGCTGCCGCGACTCTGTCTCAGGCCGAGGCATGCTGTCGGTTCAGGCCTGGCTAACTGGCCTAGACTTAGTTTCCCGTATGCCGTCCTTACCTTTCCTTCGCTGTCGCCTAAGCCTAAGTCCCAGCCCTGTCACCCCGTTACTAGGGCTGAGAGTTACAGGTTGGGAGCAGAGCCACTGTCTCATCTGATAGCTATAGTTGTCGCTGATGGTCAGACACAGCTGGGATGGAGATGGTGGCCAGGGGCGCGCGAGAGGATGAGGAGATTGACGGACAGGGCCTTGCCCGCTCTGGACCTTGGTCTGCCCACTGTTGCTGTCGGATGCCAGAGACCCGGCTTCTGTCACCGGCTCACCTGTCTTATCCGGGTGATGGGGCAGGTCTGAGCAGGGGTAGGGTGCAGACCATTTGGACTAGCTGGGAGGAGTTGGGAGCCTCAAACAGAAATATCTACAGTGCTGAGCCGGGGAGCCTCCTGGGCATGAGGCCGAGCCAGGCCACAGCGGGGCTTGGTGTTGTTTTGTTTTGTTTTGTATTTGTTTGTCTTTCTGAGCCAGGGTCTCGCTATGCAGTTCAGGCTGACCTTGAGCTAACTTTGTAGCCCAGGCTGGTCTCGAACTCCCAGTGATCCTCCTGCCTCAGCCTCCCGAGGGCTGGGATTACAGGTGTGCACCACCATGCCCGGCAAGGCGCTTAGTGTTAGGACTGACAGCAAATCCAATCAAACACGCCAGCAAACAGGGAACGAATATACAGCAGAGGAGTTGGATAGCCCCTCTGTACCTGGTTCCAGGGGACAGGGGTTCTTTCTAGGGAGTCTCCGAGGGCTTCCTGGAGAAGGAACAAAGTAGATGGGGCGTGAAGCATGAGTAGGGGTTTACCGGATAGAAATTGCTGGGGGCCAGGGATGTAGCTCAGCGGTAGAAAATGTGCAGGCAGGGACCTGGGTTTATTCCTCCGCACCACAATATGAAAGAGAAAGAAATCCGAGTGTGGTGGCACCTGCCTGTAATCCCAGCACTGGGGAGGCTGAGGCAAGAAGATCGCCTGAGTCTGAGGCCAGCTTCGACTACAGAGGGAGGCCCTGTCTCAAAAAGAAACAAAGGGGGTGCTGGGGATTTAGCTCAGTGGCAAAAGCGCCTGCCTGGAAAGCACAAGGTCGTGAGTTCAATTTCTGGTACTGGGGAAAAAAAAAAAAGACAAAAAAGCAAACTACAGCTTTTGGGGCTAGGGATTTAGCTCAGCGGCAAAGCGCCTGACTGGCAAGCGCAAGGTCGTGAGTTCGGTTCCCGGTATCGGAGGAAAACCAAAAAAAAACCCCCAAAAAACAAATAAACAAAAAAGAAACAAAGGGGGCCGCGCAGATGAAAGGAGATGCTCTGGAGGTAGTTTCTAGGGGAAGAAGCAGCCTGAGGCAGAGGCGGAGCCTTCCGAAGGAAAGACACACTGCTGAACCGCAGGTAGGGTCTGCGCTGTGTGCCAGCAGGGAGCGAGGCGGAGGCCCCAGCACAGACCTGGCCTCCCTGACGCGGTTCCCCTCCCCAGCCCCCTGTGGGTGGCACTGCTGAGCGGCTTGATCCTGGGCCTGCTGTTCGTGTCCATCTACAGCTTGTCCCGCGGCGAGATCTCCTATGACCCGCTCTATGCTGGTGAGCCCCTGGAAGGTGGTGGAGAAGTGGGCTGCCCGGCAAGGGCCTCCGCCCTCAGACCTGCAGCCAGGGCAAGGCTCCCGCGCCCGGCTGGGCGCCTCGCAGGGCTTGCATTGCACTGGGGAGACTGGTACTCCATTAGATTGATTAGCCTCAAACAACCTCCCCTTTTAGACCCGGAACTCCTCAGAGCAGGAACTGTGCCCCCTCCATCAGACAGGCAGGCTAAGGCAGGACTGTGGTCCTGCAACCTGTGCAGTGGGGACGGGGACAGCTCTTAGAACCTGGCGCCTGGCCTCCTATTTCAAGCCCCGCCCCTTCACACCTGACCCGAGCTGCGCATGCGCAAACCTTGATTGGGCAGTCTTGGCCCCGCCCCCACGCGGCTCGGTCCCGCCCACGCCTAGTCCCCACCCACCTGAGGCCCCGCCTCCTCCCCCCGCAGTCTTCGCGGTCTTCGCCTTCGCCTCGGTAGTGGACCTCGTCATCGCCCTGCAAGAGGACGGTTACGTGGAAGGCTTTGCAGAGTTCTACACCAGGGAGGTAGGTGGCGGGTGGCCGGGGTGTCCCTGTCGCCTTGTGTGTCTGAGCCTTGCCCCTGCCCCCAGGGCGAGCCGTACCTGCGCACAGCACACGGGATCTTCATCTGCTACTGGGACGGCACCGTGCACTACCTGCTCTACCTGGCCATGGCCGGCGCCATCCGCCGCAGGTAAAGACACGGTGGCTCTTGGGTCGCTGCTGGGGCCTCGCAGCGGGTGAAGCAGGAGCGTCTGGGTGAAATCAGGAGGCCCCTGAGGACTGCAGCCAGGGGTGGCCGGAGAAGGTCCAGTGGGCGTCCTCAAGGGTGAGGGTGGTGTCCACGTGGCTGGTACCCACGCTGTCCCTGGGACGCCACTGTCGGCCCTGTTGTCCTTTCCTCCCTGGACAAAGCTGAGAGGGGCCCGGAGCTGGGTGGCCAAGGTGGCCTCTGCCCTTGCTGGGGCTCTGACCCTGGGGACAGGTACCGCGTAGTCACCCCTGCATTCCTGGCCCAGGAAGCAGTACCGGAACCTTGGGCTGTACTGGCTGGGCTCCTTCGCCATGAGCACCCTGGTGTTTCTCCCGGGAAACATCCTTGGTAAGGATCCAGCTGCGGGGAGCCCATGCCTGCACCAGAAGCCCCGCGCTGGACGCTCCGTCCCCTCCCCAGTGCCTGCAGGTCCCTTCTGCCTCTTTGTCTTTCGGTAGCCAGCCCCAGCTGGTGGCTTTCCCGTTTCCTCTTGGAGGTGGGGGCGCCCGGGGTAATTCTGCTTCCTCCCCAGGGTTTTGCTCAGAATGCAGAGACTGGAAGGCTGTTTGAGGGTGGGAAGAGGGGAAGCTGTGTATGGAGTCTTGGAAGGTGGGGCTGGGGTGACAGTCAGATGTTGGGACAGCCCAGCAAAGACTCCCCCAGGAAAGCACCCCAGCATATTCATGGGAAGGAAAAAAACACTGGAGTGTAGGATTTGTACTCAGAAGGTAAACTGAGGCAGGCCTGGCTGAGGAACATGGACATCATTTGTGGGCACTGGGGAGCCATGGAAGGTGATGGAGCAGGAGTATAGTTAGCATGTGTGAGTCAAGACATCTCTCCTCCACCGTGGCAGGCAAATACAGCTCCGAGATCAGGCCCACCTTCTTCTTGGCCATCCCCTACATGCTGGTCCCATGCTGGGCTGGCCTGCGCATCTTCAACCAGTCCCGGGAGCCATCCTACTGTCCCCCCAACATGGTGAGTGCCATGTCCCCCGGGCAAATCAGGGCCCACCCTGCCTCCCTGGCCCCCATGTGAGCTGTACTGGAGCAAAGACCCTGTGTCCTCTGGGAGGAGGAGCCTTTACCGACTGCCCGACGGCTACCAGACCACTCATGCAATGTCGGATGCTCCCGGGGAGCAGGTGCAGGAGGAGCAGAGAAAGGGGCTGCTGCAGCGCCCGGTCGACCTGGCCCTCGTCATCTACCTCACCCTGGCCGCGTTCTTCACTCTCTTCCGGGGCCTGGTGAGTCTGCTCGGCAGCCTCCCTTCCTGGCCCTTTATTGGTAGAAAAAGAGCACTGTTCTTCCATCTGATCACCCAGGGAAGTTCATCGTCAAGTCTGACCTGAGTATCCCATGAAAAAGCCCTGTTCCCTGTAGCTGTCTCTCCTCCCTCTCTGAGAATTCCTGGGTGGAGACAGCTAGTATTTCCACATGGACAAGACTAGAATCCCCGGATGGACACAGCTAGGATCCCTGGATGAGACAGCTAAGGTCCCTGGATGGACACAGCTAGGATCCCCAGATGGACACAGCTAGGGTCCCCAGGAAGAGACAGCTCAGGTCCCCGGATGGATACAGCTAGAATCCCCAGATGGAGACAGCTAGGATCCCCGAAAAAGGCAGCTAAGGTCCCCGGATGGACACAGCTAGGGTCCCCGGACAGAGAGAGACAGCAAAGGTCCCCAGAGAGAGAAAGCTAGGGCCAGGATGCGGAGACCAAAGGATATGGGCCCTGTTGGGAAGTGGGGGTGAGGCGGCTTCCTGGAAGAGGGGTGCTTGAGGTAGTTGTTTGGTTCGTCTGTCTGCCCCAGGTAGTGCTTGACTGCCCCACAGACACCTGCTTTGTCTACATCTACCAGTACGAGCCATACTTGCGGGACCCTGTGGCCTATCCAAAAGTGCAGGTGAGAGAGCAGGTGGGAGGAGACAGTCACGGTCCTGCCTGGGCCTTTTTGAAGCAGGTGCCCAGAAGGACAAGTCAAGTGGGCAGAAGCACAGGTGGAATGTATTGTCTTACCAGAAAAGTAACATATGGTCTTCAGGTATGGCTGGGTCCAGGTGCTCAAGGGTCATTGTGTCTCTGGACCCTACTGTCTTTGCACGGCTCCCTTTAGCAGGTGGCACAGGTGGCTCTGGCTTTGCATATACCCCACTCTGCTACCCCAGAGGAAATGAGCCCTTATTGTTACCCCAGGACTTAAGCACATATCTGAGGCAGGCTCTGAGGCCGGCTCTGATTGGCCCAGCCCACGTGCTTGTCCTTTATCATTATGGCCATGGCATGAGAGTATTTGGATTGGCTAGGCTGGCATCACGTGGGTGGACAGAGGCTTCCGAGGGAAATGGAGGTGCTCTGCGTGGGTGGGATGGGCAGAGGGCCCCAGGCCCGGGGAAGTCCAGGAGCCCCAGCTCCTCTTACAGGCCGTGGTCTGAACTCCAGATGCTGATGTACCTGTTCTACGCCCTGCCCTTCTATGGCCTGGCCACCTACGCCCTCTTGGTCCCGGGATGCTCGTGGCTGCCCGACTGGACCCTGGTGTTTGCCGGAGCCATTGGCCAGGTGAGGGGTCAGGCAGTGTGTGGGCAGACATTGTGCCCCTCCTGGGCAGCCACAGGCCCAGTGCCCCGGAATTCCCCAGCGTGGGGAAGACAGAGCCGGACATAGTCAACTCCAGCTCCCCAGAGTCAGAGCTGGAGGGCAGAGGTGCAGGGACAGAGGGGACTGCGGACGGGGAGAGGCTCCGTGGGGACCGAGGAGCTGGGCTGCACCTCCGGTACACCCCCGGGAGGTCGCAGTTCAGAGTTCTTGGCCTCAGCCCCTGCAGGGTTTCCGTGTTCCCTGACTAGTAATTCTTCCCGGAAATGCCCTCACTTTGGCAGAAACGGCCAATATCCTCTGCCATTGTGTTTTGGCGGGATGTTTGCAAGTAGCCAGTCCGAGAGTGTTACTCAGGCCCTGCTGCCGCCTGGCTGCTGCCCTGCACCCGTCCGGGCAGGTGCGCCTGCACCCCGCGTCCTAACAGGTCGCTGCATCACACGCAGCTGTCTCCAGTGCTCCCCGTTTATTCTTCCCAAAGCGCTGAGATGCCTAAGATGCTGCCAAAGCACCCCGCACCGTCTACGGCTTTATTAATACTGTATTATTACATTAAATTATATAACCTTGGGAGACATAGCGTATTTAGGGTTTAAGCTATAAAAATTGCCATTTGTAGGCATTTTTCAATGTCCATATGTGAAATTTGTCGTTTTCTTCACCATTCGCTGGTGCTCAGGAACATCACCCCTGAGAATCTCGGGGCCCCCTGTGTGCAGAGGCGCGCTCCAGGCCGGAAAGGGCATTCCGGAGCGAGGGCGGCGCAGGGACGGTGACTGGCAGGGCTGTAACGCGGGCAAAGGCAGAGCCGAGAGAGATGGGCAGCTCGAGGCTGAGGCCTTTGAACTCGGGCCTCGTGGTGCTGATGGGAGCTGTGGGAGGTGCTGGGGCGGTGAGGACCCAGTCAGAGCTGCGTTCCCGACCGGAAGGGATAAGCCCTGGTTGGGCCAAGGCCAGGAAGAGTCCCACGAGGCACGATAGACAGGATTCGTGTCCCAGAGGGGTTAGGAGGACCTGGACCAGGTCAGAGGAAGGATACTAGGTCCCCACGGAGAGGGGACAGGTGAGCCATCCAAAGCAGCAACATGAGGACAAGTCCCCAGAGGACCAAGGTGGGGCAATGGCCCCGCCCCGCCCACCAGCCTCCCTGTCTGCGCAGGCGCAGTTCTCGCACATGGGCGCGTCCTCGCACCTGCGTACGCCCTTCACCTACCGCGTGCCGGAGGAGGCCTGGGCCTGTGTCTTCCTCTCCAACCTGCTCTACGCCATTGGCCCACACCTGCTGGCCTCCCGCTGCCTGCTGTGGCCTGCCTTCTTCCTGCAGCTACCGCCTGCGCCCCCGGCCTCCAAGAAGCAGCAGTAGCCGGGCGTGGTGGCCCACGCCTGTAATTCCAGCACTGGGGAGGCTGAGGCAGGAGGATCATTTTGAGTTCGAGGCCAGCCTGGGCTACATAAGTGAGCTCAAGGGCAGCCTGAACTGCATAGCGAGACCCTGTCTCAAAAAGACCAAAATAAATAAATAAATAAAAATAAAGCTGCAGTGAGGGCTGCGGCCTGGGACTTCCTTTACAGGCTCAGCAGGCCCTGCGCCAGAAGCGGGGTGGCACTTTTAGCAACAGGACTAACGTCTCCAGGAGTCTTCTGGCCGTGGAAGCTTCAGGCCAGTGGGTGGAAAGGGACACCCACAGCCAGGGGTTCTTGGAAAGAGCCTCACTGAAGTCAGCGTGGGAGCGCATGCCTGTCATCCTAGCACTGGGAAGGCTGAGGCAGGAGGATCTTGGCGAGTTTTGGACTACATAGCGAGACCCTGTCTTAAAAACAAAACAAGGGCTGGGGATATAGTTCAGTGGCACAAGCGCCTGCCTGGCAAGCACAAGGTCCTGAGTTTGATTCCTGGTACCAAAAAAACCCCAATGTGTGTTGGGGGGCTTGTTCCACTGTCACCACGCCCCAAAGGCCACAGAGACTCTTGAGCCCAGGCCCAAGGTTTATCCATCATCCCTCTCAAGGGTCCTTTTAATAAAAGCTCTTGATGACTAAAACGTTACTGCCTGAGTGTTCAGGGGTGGGGGGGCTCTTGGACCACACGGGTCTGTGGTGGCCATTGGAAGGTTAAGTGCCAGCTGGCAGAAGTTGACTTCTGGTTGGTATGGACAGCTCCGTCTTCCAGATAGGGCGAACTGAAGCTCAGAGGGACGAGAGGCCGGCCTGAGGTCGCAATCAGGAGAGAAAGGCCACTGCTCTGCTGGAAATGGTGGCACATGCCTGCAACCCCAGCTACCAGGTAGGCTAAGTCAGGAGAACTGCAAGTCTGATGCCAGCCTGAGCAATATTAGCAAAACACTGTCTCAAAATAAAAAGGGCTAGGGGTGCGGCTCAAGGGTGAGCACTTGCCTAGCATGAGTGAGGCCTATCCCCAATGCTGGGGGGGAGGATGTCCCACACGCTGCACACCTGTAATTTCCCAGCACTCTGGGAGGCTGAGACAGAGGATCACAAGTTCTAGCTCACCCTGGGTAACAGGAACCCAATCTCAAAAAACAGAAAAAGGGCTGGGGATGCAGTTCAGAATGAAGGCTCTGAGTTCAAAAACCAGTACTGGGGGAAAAAAAGTCATTACTCTGCCAATAAACTACAGTGTGATTAATAACGTGGCACGGTTATTAAGTACCAACTGTGTACCATGCTGAGTGCTAACCTCTACTACTACAGGCTGGATCTCAGCCCCTATTCCAGATGGGGAAACTGAGGTTACAAGGGATGAAGGGCCTGGTCCAAGGTCATGCCTGGGCATGGCCTAGCTAGGGACCAAGTCCCAGCCGGTCAGACCACAGAAGCTGTAAGTGCTCCTGCTGGGTGATGACTTGGGCCCATTTCAGGGCAAACAGGCCAGGAAGACCGCCCAGGGGTTGGGAGAAGTGCTTACCGTTCCCTGGATTGTGATTTTAGAGCCCTTTTTCCTTTCTTCAGCGCTGCGGATTGAACCCAGGGTCTTGCACACCCCAGGCAAATGGTCTGACCTGTGAAACTCGGCAACGTGTGTGTGTGGGGTGGATCCCCCCTCCTTACACCCTACTTAGCCCTAATCCTAGCTCATACTGGTTTGGGGCTAGCAGGGGTCTGTCTCCCAGGGAGACTAGAGTGCCCCGCCCCAGATCCCACAGCCAGAGAGGAGCAGAGTCCTCAGATCCCTAAGCCAGGGAGTGATTACTGGGGGTGCTCACCCCTCCAGTGGCTGCTGGGCCCCAGGCTCCCAGGACGGTCACCCCATGGGCAGATGGGTAAACTGAGCCCTGCAAGCCAAGCCCCTTAAACAAGTCACTGAGCCCTCCTTGCTCAGACAGGGTATGGAAAACGGAAGACCCCACACATCACCAAGCCTTCTGTCCCATTTTATAGATGGCCAAACTGAGGCCCAGAGAGTTTTCTCCACCGGCCCAAGGTCAGCCAGCAAGGGCAGGGACGCGGCTGTGCACTCAGCTCTTCCTCCTTGCGCGGGCAATGCCCAGGGCCACCTTACTGCGGAGCGCAAGCCGCTACGTCCCCTTTAACGCCCCCCCTCCCTCCTCCCCTTGCAGGCAGACGCCGGGATTGCGCCGCCGCCGCAGGGAGCTGCCCAGTCCTCCGGGCGCGGCGGGGAGCGCGGTCGGTCCGGACGCGGGGCCGCTGCGGGCGCGGGCAGGATGGTGAGCGCCGGAGGGGCCTGGCGCCCGATCTGGGTTTCTGTGTCTCTGCTCGGGCCCATGTCCGTCCCCTGTCGTGCTCTCTTGGAGCTCTTTCCCGGCAGGCTGCCCCTCTGCCTCTCCTAATTTTCTTTCCTTTCTGTTTGAAAGGGGGTCTCCCTGCACTTCTGGTCCCTCCGTTCCCTTCGGTCTCCCTCGCTCTCGCGCCGCCCTCTGTCTCCGCGCCCCGGTCCCGTCCCTCTCCGTCTCTCTGTCCCTGTTCTCCCCGCTCCGGCCCATTTGCTGCAGTCTCCTGGCGCACGGATAACCTTGCTGCCGCGCGCCCCAGCTCTGCTCCCTGCCCCCTCCGAGCCGAGCAGGAGCGCGGAGCAGGCGGGGCCCGGAGCACCGCGCTGGGGACCCGGGCAAGAGGGGCGGCGCAGGTGCTGGGGAGGTCGGTCCGGGCGCGCGCTCCCGGGAAGGTGCGGGGGTGCAGTCCTCGGCGGCCCGGCCAAGGTGGCACCTGGCACGGGGAAGACGCCCGCCCCACCCCCGGGTTTGACAGGCCGGGGAGCCGGTCCTCAGCACGGAGGCGCGGCTGCCGGCGGACTGAGCGCCGTGCGCCCGCAGGTGCGCGCTCGGGCGGCCCTCCGAGCCGGCGTGCTCTGGGCCGCGGCCTGGGGCCTCCTGCTGCTCTCGGCGCCCGCGGAGGCGCAGCGCGGCCGCAAGAAGGTGGTACATGTGCTCGGTGAGTCTTGGTGGCCCAAGGTGCCACTGCGCTGAGGAGAGGGGCCGGGGGGAGGGCGTCGCCCGTGGCCAAGGTCGCCCAGCCCTTTCCCTCGAACCCGCCCGAGCTTCCTCCCCACATCCCCTCTCTGGCTCCCTCACCCGCTCCAGGCCCCCTCTGAGCCCTGCTTGGTCGCCCGCAGAGGGGGAGTCGGGCTCCGTGGTGGTGCAGACCGCGCCGGGGCAGGTGGTCAGCCACCGAGGTGGCACCATCGTCTTGCCCTGTCGCTACCACTACGAAGCGGCCGCCCACGGCCACGACGGCGTCCGCCTCAAGTGGACGAAGGTGGTGGACCCGTTGGCCTTCACCGACGTCTTCGTGGCCCTGGGGCCCCAGCACCGGGCCTTTGGCAGCTACCGCGGGCGGGCTGAGCTGCAGGACGATGGGCCCGGGGACGCCTCGCTGGTTCTGCGAAACGTCACCCTGCAGGACTACGGGCGCTATGAGTGTGAGGTCACCAATGAGCTGGAAGATGACGCTGGCATGGTCAAGCTGGACCTGGAAGGTGACCAGCCCGTAGGCATGATGGGGCTTGCTTGTAAGGGGAGGGGACCGCAAGGGACAGAAAGCAAATCAGATTGGCTTAAAGAAATTTAGATTTTAGCCAAGTGTGGTGGTACACACCTGTAGTCCCAGCACTCGGGAGGCTGAGGCAGGAAGGCCTCCGTGATCTTGAGGGCAGCCTGGGCTACATAGTTTGAGGCCAGCCCGGACTACATAGCGAGACCCTGTCTCAAAAAAGGCAAACAAAAATGAGAGATTTTGTAGGGCAGGGCAAGGGTTATGATGGCGGTAATGTTGACCCCCGTAGACTGAAGCACTATCTGGAGATACTGTAGGTGCCCTGCTTGGAGGTGGCACACTAGCATGTAGTGGGGAGAGACCCTGGATGCTGCTAAAGATTTTACAAGGCGCAAGACTGTCCCCACAAAAGGATGACCCATCCAAACTGTCTGTAGTAAGGAAGGACATTGAGAAGCCCTGGATAGGGCTTGGGCACAGTGAGATCCAGGCATTTGTACTATGTCATAAATGCATCCCTCATCTCTGCTTCCTGCGTGGCTTTTCCCAGGCAGGTTTCCCCTTCCGAAACCCAATGGAACCCCAATCAACACCAGACTTCCGCCCTCACATGTCAGCATCTAATGGTCTAGGCTCAGCAACTAGAGTCCCAGAGTTGTCTCTCATTGGGCCAGTTTGAGTCACGTGCACAAGTGTGAGCCAATCACTGTGGCTAGGAGCTGAGCTGCTGTGATTGGCTGAGCGGGAGCTTGGAGGTGTGGTTTCTAGCTGAGGTATTCCCTCCCACCTGGTTTGCTGCTGGGTCCGGGAGCTGGCAGGAGAGGTTGAGGGGCCGCCCCTTGAGCCTCCCAACAAGAAGTAGCAGCAGCGTTCATAGCAGGAGCTTTTCTTCATTAGGCGCTTTCTGTGCCAGCCACTTAAAGTGAAGAGCTCTCTGGAGTCGCTCATTTAATTTTCCAAGAACCCCAGGGGAGAGAGCGATTACCGGCCTGTGGCAACAAGCACAGGGAGTGGCAGCCTTGCTCAGGGCGTCTGCTAATGACGGCCGCGGAGCTCAGCCCCTGGCTCTCGGCCATGTTTTCTTCCAGGCCCCCTGTCGCCTTCTGAGTGTGCTGAGCTAGTCCACTGGCCCCAAGCTCTGCCCTGAAGCCCTCGAGGGACAAGTTCAGAGTCACAAAACTCAAGTGTTAGGGAAACCAACGGTACTTAGTTGGATAGTGCTGTCAGGTCAAAGGGGCCTTCACCCTGGGATACAACATTCCAGGGTTCCCAGTCTAGGGGAGTCCTGCACTGGGCACAGGCATTCCCAGGCTCCTTGGGGACGGGGAGGGCTCAGGGCTGGTGGCATGTCAGAAACATGTGTGACTAGAGGAGGGTTTGCGATTTGGGTTTTGAAGAATGAGTAGGAGTTTGAGAGGTGTAGAGAAAACATAAGCAAAGGTCTTCTGCAGCAAAAGAGAGTTAGACACAGTTAAGTACATTAAGGGAGCGTCGAGTGAATCCTTGGCTGACCCAATTCAACCCCGCCAGGCGTGGTCTTCCCCTACCACCCCCGTGGGGGCCGCTACAAGCTGACTTTCCTGGAGGCGCAGCGCGCATGCGCCGAGCAGGACGGCATCCTGGCGTCGGCGGAACAGCTGCACGCGGCCTGGCGCGACGGGCTGGACTGGTGCAACGCGGGCTGGCTGCGCGACGGCTCGGTGCAGTACCCGGTGAGCCGGCCGCGGGAGCCCTGCGGCGGCCTGGGCGGACCAGGGAGCGCGGGGCCCAGCGGCGGCGGCACGCATGGGGGCGTCCGCAACTATGGCTACCGTCACAACGCCGGGGAGCGCTACGACGCCTTCTGCTTCACCTCCAACCTCCCCGGTGCGTAGGCCCCGCCCCACCGGGACCCACGCCCCTACCCAGACACCCTGACTGCCACAGTCCGACGATCCAGGGCGCAACAGGGCCCTGGCCAAGTTGGGAGGGTTCGGGGGGGGGGGCGGGGAGGGTGCAGCTCCCAGATCCGGACGGTCCTGGGCTGACGGGGGGCTGGGGTCTTGAGCCCCGAGGGCGAAGATCGGTCCTAACAACTTCCCCACGCCCCCCGCAGGGCGCGTGTTCTTCCTGAAGCCGCTGCGGCCGGTGCCCTTCGCGGGGGCGGCG